GCTCAGCGTCGCCCGCCGCTGCCGGAGTGGTGCCGCCCGCGCAAAGAGCAAGCCGAACATGTGAAGCACAAAAGCGATCCACGGCAGTTCTTCTGATTACCAATGCCTAACATACTCCGAGTTTCTTAATCAGCATTGGGGGGCGTCACCCCCGCCGACAGCCCCACATCGACCCCCGTCGCGGGCAACCACCGCGCGCCGAAGGCTCTCCGACCCCCATCGCGGCGCGACGACGAGGCGAGGTTGACCCCCGTCGGGGGGGTACCCCCCCACGCTCATTGAGAAATCCAGAGTAGCCTTTGCATCAGGCCACTTCGCCACTCGCGAAGTACGCCAACTCCTGATGGTCGGGGATCCGCGAACGCACGGTGTTATACTTGGGCAGCATTCCCTGAGCCTGATTTGCGAGCGCAAAGAAGTCAACGCCGTCTCTCATGCAGTCTCAGTCGCAAAGCGTGACGTTAGTGTGCAGGTCAACTGTATGGACTACCTGTCTCCATGGACGCTGCTTCTCAACCAACGGAACCCTGCTGCCAGATGCAGAGGCGAATCGGATTCGGCGCTCATGCTAAGAAATCAGGCCGGATGGGGCACCCGCGCAAAACCTGCGAGCACCAGCGGGGCGCCTGCGAGCCCTGGCATGGCGCCTGCGAGCGCCAAAACGTCCGATCGTTCACGCTACCCGTTGGGGGGTCGGTTTGGTCCAGATAACGACCGTGAAACGCCAAGCTGTTAAAACAAACACGTCTCTTTTGGACGCTGGAAATGAGCACGGAAAATACGGATACGATGTCCAACAAATAATGTTGTCCAAACCCGCCAGCAGCCGCTGATGGACACTGGCTGCGGCGACAACGGCAGCGAATCCTGTTCACAATGAACAAGAACTTCTGTTGGACGTTGTGCCCATTGTTTCCGTACTGGCCCATTTCTGAGAATCGTTCAACCGACCCCCATCCCCAAGGGCGTGGCCTGGGCCCCACTGGCCGTTTCCCCCCCCCTAGATGGGGACGTAGGCCTTTCCCTTTGGGCTTCGAGGGGCAAATTCCCGGCTGGGGTGGTGGGATGCTGGGGCTCGGGATGGGGACGGGGACAGGGACCGGTTGAACCTCTTGGCGGCGCGCACAAAAGGGGGAGGGGGAGGGGGAACGGACTCTTGGAACGAGGCCGCGGCGCAGAAGGCGCCGGCCCTACGTCTCTAGAGAGAAGGCCCGCGCCTCCTAAGAAGCCGGGGTGCTTCCAAGAAGCCGCCCCTCTGCCCACCCCGCCCCCCTCCCCAGACATCTGGCCGCTCCAACTTCTTCGACGCGCGCGCCCCAGAAGTCTAATGACAAAGACAGCTTTCTTAGAACATGAGCCCGATGTGCTCAAACAAGACAGTCCCAGCCAGAAATGTTCTAAGAACATGTCGTGCAGACCACGAGAGGCTCTTGGAACATTCTTTGGTGGTCCTATGAGCACGCCGGGACGCTTCGCCATCGCTTGAACCACTTCCCGATCGCAACTTTTTGTCTTGTCCCGAACCGTTTTCTGGACGGTCCCGAGGCTGCTGGCGAGGGCCCCCGGAGACCGAACGCGGCCCCGAAGCACCCGCCGCGCTCCGACGACGACCTGGGCCTCTGGGCCTCTGGGCTCTGCGCGCGGCCGACGACCTACAGGCAACCCGCACAGGAAGGATGGGCAACTTTCCCAGGGGTGCCCTTTGCATCCTTGCCCCATTCGACCCATCCTTAGCGACTTTCGCTGGCCAACCTCGCTCGCAAACGTCACCTTCCACGGCCCTTGCATCCTTACCGCGCATCCTTACTGTGCGGGTTGACTAGGGGCCTCCTAGATGGTGTCGGAGTAGATGGGGTCCAAGGATCGCGCCGCATCGCCGATACATCGGCGATGTATCGGCGATGCACCGGCGAAGCATCGGCGACGTCGGCGATGCATCGGCGACGTCGGCGTGGGGAAACACGGGCCCCACATCGAGCCGCATAGCCGATGCATCGCCGATGCATCGGCGATGCGGCGCGACCCTCCGACCCCATCTGCTCCGACCCCATCTAGGAGGCCTAGATTGACTGTGCCCCCCCCGGGGGGACGTAAGACTCGGCTACGGGGGACTCGGGTTGGCCTGACGGGGGCCATCATGAAAATGATGAGACCCAATCTGAAATTTGACGCGGGCTCCCGCTGCAAACACCCCACGAAAAACGGGACCGTCAAAATCTGGGACGCGCTCGTCAAAAAGATGGCAAACCCGAATTCTGGCTTACTCGAGTCTTACGTTTCCCCGATAAAATGGCGTCGGAGCAGATTCGGGCGTTGGTAAAACTGGGTTTCGTGAAACCTGGTTTAGTGATCTGTACGGGGGGCGCCCCCCCGTCCCATTTCCACTAACCGGAACTGCCGTCACCCGAAAAAACGCCAGCTATGGCAAACCTGGTTTAGTGATTCTGGCCAATTCTTGACGCTTCGCGTATCCCCACCAGCCCATCCTACACCAGGCACTCGAACGAAGAGCGCCGATGATCGGCAGCTGTTCTTCTCCCCCTCTTCCTCCTTCTCCTCCGCCTTCTTCCTCCTCCTCCTCTCCTCCTGCCTCTCCTCCTCCTCTTCCTCCTCCTCCTCCTCCTCCTCTTCCTCCGCCTCTTCCTCCTCCCTGGTGACGTCTTGGAGGTATCTTCGAACGGTTTGGTGGGCTCTTGGGCCTTGCGGGCGGGCGGGCGGCGCTCCGCCCGCCCGCGCGCAGGGCCCAAGAGGAGAGTCCAAGACGTCTCTTGGAGCCATTTAGGAGGAGATCGATCAACGAAGGAGGGTCCCTCAACTTGGCTCGCCCCCCAGGAGCTCCAAAAATCGTCTCCTGGACCCCTCTTGGATCGCTCTTGGAGCGCTCGTGGCCGCTCTTGGAGCCGTCCTGAGGCTCTCTTGGGCCCCTCTTGGAGCTATCTTGAGCCATTTTGGAGTCATCTTGACGCCTCGGATGTGCATCGCAAGCGAAAAGGGCGTCTGGGGTCTGGGGTCTGGGGTCCGTTTAGACGCCATCGGGGCGCTCTGGGGGGGCATCTTGGAGCAAATCTATCAAAGAAGAGCAGAGCTTTAATTAGCGTTGCCCCTCCAGACTGTCTGAAATCGCTTCCTGGACCCCTCTTGGATCGCTCTTGGACGCTGTTGAGGCAGTCTTGAGGCTCTCTTGGGCCCCTGTTCGGGCCCAGTTGGGACAACTTGGTGCCATCTTGAGGCCTCGGATGGGCTTCGGAAGCGAAAAAGTGAGAACACCGAAAACATTGATTTTCCCCAGGGTTTTGAAGCATTTCGGCCTTTTGAGGGCACTCTAATGATGCTCTTGTGGGCACTTGGAACCATCTTGGAGTGGTCTTGGAACGTGTTGGAGCGTCTTCTGAACCATCTTCAGGCATCTTGCGCTATCTTGAGCCATCTTGGAGGCGATCTTGGGCTCTCTGAGGCCCTCTTGGAGCCGTCCTGGGCAATCTTGGACGCTCTGACCGCTCCCCGCCCCTCCTGTCCAGGTCAGTGGGGAGGGGGTAGGGGGAGGGGTAAACCCCTCCCCGAAGGGGAAGAGGGAGGGGTGGAAGAGGAAACGCCCTAAACCACCGACGCCCAGAGGGCTGGTGGGATTCGAAGGCTCCGGGGCCCTACCACTGACCGGGTCCCCTTACCCGGGGTCCTGGCCATGCCCGACAGATGGGGTCGCAGGGTCGCGCCGCATCGCCGATGCATCGGCGATGCACCAGCGGTGCAACATCGACGTCGGCGACGTCGACGTGGCGAAAATCGGGCTCCACGTCCGGCCGCGTCGCCGAAGCATCGGCGATGCGGCGCGATCCTCCGACCCCATCTGCTCCGACCCCATCTAAGAGGCCTAGATTTAGGTCGGGCCTATCCCCCTACAGGGGGAATTTGGATGAAAAGTTCAAAATACGTGAAAAATATGCAAAAGATGCGCAAAGATACTCCAAAAATCGTCCCCAGACTAGTTCTTAACTATTTATGAAGATTCCCCCTGTAGAGGTCTGCTCCAGGTTCCTACACCCGTCCCGAGGGCGGGGTTCTTTATCCCGATCCGTTTCCCGAGCGGCGCCCAGCCAAGACCACGAGGCACCCCCTTCGCAGGAACACCCAAACGAGCGAGCAATAACGTTAGGTCTGGCATGTCCTCCTACAGGGGGATTTTGGACGCAAAATAAAAATCGTCCCCAGACGTTTTCTTTATAATTTTTGAATATTCCTCCTGTAGAGGGACAGGCCCGACTTAAGCCTAGATCCTTGTCAGCTACGCGGAGGAGTGACCTGAGAACCCGTGCGCGAGGTGCACCTGAGGGGAAACGCGGACCACCCTGAACGCAGCAGCTCCTGCAACGGCTGCGGGAAGTCACCGCGCAGCGCGAGGAGCGCAGAAACCCAGGATACCCTGACGAAAAGCATGTGGTTTCTTGATGCGCGCCCCCACAATAGATCCTTGTCAGCTACACGGAGGATCGGGTCGGGCGAAAGGGGGGGATAGCAAAGGGGGGGTTTGAGAATCACCTCACGTAGCTGATTTTCCCGGCGCCTCCCGGCGCCGCAGGCGGCCATGTGTGGAGGAATAGGCCCCTCGGTGGGGCCGAAACCAGCTGCATGCGGCAAATTTCGTACCCCCCCCCCCTTTCCCTATCCCAAAACAGGGCTAGGATCAGGATAAATCGCTCCAGAGCGTTCCGGAGCGCTCTCAGAGCGTTTCCGTCCGGAATCCTAAATACATCCTCCAAACCCGCCGATCCTCAGAGATTCCGAGTTATCCCGATCCGATTTTGTCCCGATCTTCGCGTCTTCGGGGACACCTGCCCCTGGGCGGCTGGAAAGTTTATACCCCTACGGTGCCACCGTAAGGGTATAAACTTTCCAGCCGCCCAGGGACAGGCGCCCCCGACAGCGAGAAAATTTATCTTATACCGTTCTTCGCACGTTAACTTTCGTCCGGCCCGAGAGGAGTGACCCCCTCCCCGGGGCGCCTGCGCCAACAGGCTCCCGGACTCGTCCTCCGCCGGCGCCGCCGGCGCCGCACCGCCCTCGGCGCGCCGGCCGCCCAGCGCCCTGACCAGCGGGCGAGGTCGGCAGGCTCTGGGCAGGCTCGAGGGCCCCAAGAAACCACCAAGCAGAAGCAAAAGCAGTGAGTGCGATCGAGCGCCCTAGGACTTAAGGGGCGGAGAACGGTATTCAAAAAAAAATTCGCTGTCGGGGGCGCCTGTCCCTGGGCGGCTGCAAAGTTTATACCCTTACGGTGGCACCGTAGGGGTATAAACTTTCCAGCCGCCCAGGGACAGGCGTCTCCGACAGCGAAAAAGTTTATTTTACACCGTTCTTCGCTCGCTGAAACCACCAAGCAGAAGCAGAAGCAGAAGTCCGATCGAACGCCCTATAGGACGTCTCGTCCCGCTTGCGGGAACGGCGTGATCCATGCATTGATGCGCCCAGCGGATCATAAGGACTTCACGGCTAAAAAATGCTCACCCAATAAAAGAAAAAAACAAAAAAACGAAAAACAAACAAAAAAAACAAAAAAAAACAATAAACATGACAAGCCTAGAAAGCGATACACAAGCAACAAAACGACGAACGCGACGCGATACGCATTTTTCAAAAGAACGCACGCTCGAACGACAAAAATGCGGACCACGCACACACGGCATACGCCGCTAAAGCATTTAATACAAATACACACTGCGCACACCTACTACAAGACACAATCATAATAAACATGCCAGTGCGCTCCGCCACAAACGTTGCATAACACATGACCCGTAATACACACTACAAACACACGGGCAACCGAAACCACAAACACATCATAAACCTTTTATCTATACATATACGACACACGCGCAGACATAACCCCCTTTTCACCTCCCACCCCCCACCTGCCCACCCACGCGGGCGTCGGGGAGCCTGCCCGGGCGCCGAACTTGGAAAGATGGGCGGACGGGGCTGCGGCAGCGAAATCCAGAAGACGGGGAAGAAGCGAGACGCGGGCGGGGCTGGGCCCTCGGGCCTCCCCCGCTCGCCTCGCCACCCCATCCGCTCTCTCGCTCGCTCTGTCTCTCTCTGTCTCTCTGTCTCTCTTTCTCCCTCTCTCTCTCTCTCTGTCTGTCTGTTTGTCTGCCTGCCTGTCTGTCTGTCTGTCTGTCTGTCTGCCTGTCTGTCTGTCTGTCTGTCTGTCTGTCTGTCTGTCTCTTTCTCTCTCTCTCTCTCTGTCTCTCTTCCTCTCTCCCTTCCTCTCTCTCTCTCTCTCTCTCTCTCTCTCTCTCTCTCTCTCTCTCTCTCTCTCTCTCTCTCTCTCTCTCTCTCTCTCTCTCTCTCTCTCTCCTCTCTCTCTCTCTCTCTCTCTCTCTCTCTCTCTCTCTCTCTCTCTCTCTCTCTCTCTCTCTCTCTCTCTCTCTCTCTCCCCCTCCTTCTCACTTTCCGGCGCTCCCCCAGGGCGCGGGGGCCCATTTCTTCGCATCGCCGAAACTTGTCGACCGACTCCGAGGTCGCCGACGCGCGCCACTCTCGCAGGCGCACTCGCGTGGAGCTAAGGATGGCAAGAAAAAGAAGGCGAGAGGGAGAAAGAGGGAGAAATGAATAGAGACGGATCGGTGGAAGGGGATGGGCCGGGATGGGGAAAAGGGACATCAGGAGGAGCGGGGAACGCAACGGCAAAAGCCAAGAGCACTCGCCCCTGCGCGCTCGTGGACGCCGCGCAGCTGCCCTTGCTGATGGGGCCCCGGGCTGAAGGCCATGCGCCACCACGAACCCTACAGCCGTCTTGCGCGAATTTAGCTTTTCTCGAAAACGCTACACCGAACCCCGAGCTCTCGTTCGAACCCTCGCCCGACGCCCACAAGGGCGGACTGCCGAAGACAAGTCGCCCCAAGGTCGGGCGCGCCCAGTGGCGCCATTCGGGCGCCAAGGACGCGGTCTGAGAAAACGCCAAGGCTGGATCAAGAAACGTGCTAAGAAGCAGCATGTATTTTTGGAGGTTCGCGCGTATTTTCTGGATCGGCCCGGGGCCTCCATGGCGGCGCCTCGGGCGCCGCTCTCAGCGCGCTCCGCGCGCCAAAGAAAGGCGTCCAGCGCCGACCCAAGAAAACCGCGCGGACCTCCGAAAAAACATATACTGCGTTCTTGCATATTCCTCGAAGAGGTCTGCGACTCATGCGCCCGCCGTCGGCCGGCGCGATCGCCCGCCCCATCGCCATCACCGCCATCATCATCAATATTGTCATCGTCCATCGTCATCCGCATTACCATCACCAACATCACCAGCATCATCATCATTGATGCATCATCATCATGAACATCATCAGCTTCATCGTCATCATCGTTATCAGAATCGCCATCGTCGTCATTACCATGAACACCATCACCATCGCTCATCGCTGTCGCCTGTTCTCCAGGCCCCTCCTCCTCCTTCTCCTACTACTCCTTCCTCGTCCTCCTCCTCCTCCTCCTCCTCCTCCTCCTTCTCCTCCCCCATCCCTCGTCCTCCTCCCTCCTCTTCCTCCTCCTCCTCCTCGTCCGCCCCCCCCGTTTATCCCCCCTCGCCCTCCGCGGGCGGCCGTCTACGGCAGCGCCGGCGCCTAGTTCTTCACCAGGGCCTCCACGGCCCGCTGCAAACACTGCGGCAAGCCGACCCACGTGCCTCTTGCCTTCAGGTCCTCCTTGAGCTTGTCTGCGGCCTGGGACTGTTTCCTGGGCCCCACGAGCTTGGGGATGGCGCACCGCAGATTGAAAAGTGTGAACGACACAGACACGGTCATGATGCCGTGGAGCGCCGCCTCTTGGAAGGTGAGAATTTTCTCTTTCGCCATCATGCCTTTGTCGGAAAAAAGCTTGATGTGCCCGTCGAGCGTGCTGCAGGCGGCGGCGAGCTCCTGGTGCGAAGAGTTCAACACGAGTTGCTTCACGATGTCGGGCTCCGGCGAGTCGCACAGCGTGCTTTCGTGGGCTTTCCACTCCGGGCAGGCGGACGTGATCACCTCTTTCAAATCCGTCATCTTGCTGTGCCAGAACAGAGACACGCGCTTCGCAAGGGAGTTACCAGCCGCGAGCGTCTCCACGATGAGCTTCGCAATCGGGAACTCGTCGAACAGAGCGCAATGGGACGTTGGGTCCAGCGCGACCAACGCCCTGCTCATGATGTCCAGAAACGCCGAGCCCTTCGGGTTCTCCATGGACGCTAAGAAATCCTCTGGGGCAGCGGCGGGGAGGCGACGAGGGGAAGCAGAAAGAGCAGGACATGGCAATGATGGAGGGCGTGGGGCGATTGTGGGAGCTCGAGGTCACCGAGCCCCGCGTCCTCGCGGGTGCAGCCCAGACGAGCAACTCTCAACGCGTGCTCGACGAACGACTCGAGGTCCGTGAAGGAGTTGACGAGCGCCTTTACCTCGAGCACCCAGCGGGCCTCGATCTCCTCGGCGTGCTTGGCGCCCTTCGCGCAGACAGGCACCGCGCGAACCCACGCCTGCGCGACCTTTACCACGGCCCCGATTTGCAATGACAGCGTCTCGTCATCAGAGTTCTTGGCGATCTCGGTGGCGGCCTCGATGGCCCCCATGACTGCCCTGGAAACCTCGACGCGCCCGTTCCCCAGAGTGTCGCACATGCTCGACCTCACGTCATCGGACCACTGGGCACCGAAGAAATTGTCGCATGGGAACGTAGAAAAGATCGTCGTCTGCACGAGGTTGCAAAAATCGCGCAAATACTCCTTCATGTTTCTCTTGACGATCTCACGGCACTGCAAGATCGTCGGGTGGTTGGACATAGCCTCAATCAAGTCTGATAGCTTCTGGCCCGCCGGGTGTCCGTCCCACCTGTCGCCGTCCTTGTCGGCCCCCTTGAGGTCGCGTTCGGCGGCCTTGGCGCCCCGGAGGACAACGAGGCAAGGGCCGGCGCGAGAGCGATCCAGCTCTTTCTCGGCCAAGAAGCGCAGGTCCTGGACAAGATCAAAGAGAGCGCCTAAAAGTTCACGCAGTTTCTTGAGCCTCTGGCCCTCGCCAAAAGCGTCGCCGAGTGTGGGCGTGACCCGAGGCAGCGACATCCACGCCTGCAGCGCCTTATCCAGCGTGTCGAAGGTTGCCCTGACCTCCGGGGCTTCCCAGGGCTTTGGCTCAGTACTTTGTAAGTCCCACGTCGCCCAGCTCTCCAATTTTTCCATGCTGAACAAGCTCGAGTCGAAGAATGCGACCATGACGCTGTGCAAATAATTGTCCAAGGACTCCTCGAGCTCAGCGTCCTCCTGGGGGCCGGCGGGGCCGTTGCACTCAGGAGGGGCTATGTTTCCTCCTCCGCCTGCCTCCTCCTCCTCCTCCTCCTCCTCCTCCTCTTCCTCCTCCTCCTCCTCCTCCTCCTCCTCCCTCCTCCTCCTCCTCCTCCTCCTCCTCCTCCTCCTCCTCCTCCTCCTCCTCCTCCTCCTCCTCCTCCTCCCTCCTCCTCCTCCTCCTCCTCCTCCTCCTCCTCCTCCTCCTCCTTCCTCCTCCTCTCCTCCTCCTCCTCCTCCTCCTCCTCCTCCTCCTCCTCCTCCTCCTCCTCCTCCTCCTCCTCCTCCTCCTCCTCCTCCTCCTCCTCCTCCTCCTCCTCCTCCTCCTCCTCCTCCTCCTCCTCCTCCTCCTCCTCCTCCTCCTCCTCCTCCTCCTCCTCCTCCTCCTCCTCCTCCTCCTCCTCCTCCTCCTCCCCCCCCTCCTCCCCCCCTCCTCCCGTCCCAGGGGATGCATCATTTTACATCTAGGAAGACTCCCCCCCCTCCCCGCCCTGGAGCATTCGAAGCAAAAGGGGCGCCCCGAGGCCCCGTAGCCGGCCGGCCCCAGAGGCCTTTCAAAGAACGCCCAAATTCCAGGGAGCCTCCATGGGACTCTTTGGGCCCCCATACAGCTGGCCCCAGAGGCCTAAAGAGGCCCCCAAGAGGCCCCGCTCTACTGTAAAACGCCCGCGTCTTGGAGTAGAGCTGCGGACGTTCTACAATAGAGCTGCGGAAGTCCCACTCTAAAGTCCGCCGGCCGGGACGAGGCGGGCCCGGGGGGGCCGCGGCGGA